AACTCATTTTCGATTTTTCACGTTTTGAGTACGCCTTGACTTTGAAAGTTGATCAGTACGATTAGTAAGTTTTTCGCAAAAATGTTTGCCAAAATTCACGTTAAATTTCTGCTGAAATCAGCATGGCTGAGACTAACGTCCTATAAATTTAGAATATTTACAGTAGTAAGTCTCAAAAAGGGTGCAAAGAGAAAGAATCTGGAGTTTTTTTGCTTAAACTTAAAGGAAGGAATTGTAGCAATGAGGAATGTAAATTTGATCTACACTTTGTCTTTAGCAATATGACAATTTGGATAATGCAATGGCAGATTGGCCAGGTACGTGTGCCCCCCCCCCCCCCCCCACGAATAATTCCAAGTAAACTACAGCAGCAGATTATCAATCGTAATTATTCATTTCCCCCATACTAACCACGGTTAGATCCATGGCCACCATATCAGCTATTATACTGTCTGGAACAGGTTTTAGAGTGTCCGGGACTCTGACGGAGTCCGGACCTCGTTTCAGAGTGTCTTCTATCTGTGCCACATTCTCATTACTTCTCTTAAACTTGATACTCGGCTGTACTAAAGTTTTACGGCCTATTCTAAACAAGGCCCTGAATCTACCACTACGTTTTGGTAGAACGTCTTTCATTTTGGACCTTTGGGAATTGTTCTCGTTTTTAATATTTGAATTCGGAGTATGATTAATCAACCGCAAGTCTTTATCAGCATTATTTGAATGTTCCTCGGGTTGTTTCTCAGCAACTTCTTCTGACGCGATGGTTTGTGACGTCACAGCACGTGGTGTGACGTCATAACACGTGGTGTGTGACGTCACAGCACGTGGTGTGACGTCATAACACGTGGTGTGTGAGGGAAGCTCGTGTTTCTCGTTACTCTGACCATTGTAACTGTGAATTGTGTGTAGAGAAGCACTCTCGTGAAGCAAGATAGCATCTTCTTTTGCTATCTTGCTATTGTCACATGTTTCTCTGTAAAAGGTATTGTGGGGCTCCTTCACAAATAACTCCATGACTCTCCTTCTAGGGAGGGAGAAACTGGAGCTTGTAAAGTTTTCCCTTCTAGACAAACTCTTTTTGCTGGACAAAGTGTCAAAATCAATACAAGATCTATTTGAGGCTAAGGATTCTCTTTTCCATTTGGCTCCTCTCACAGAAGTGTATACACTTCTAACAATGCTTTGTTTTCTTCTTTCACGATATTCCGGTAGATTAACTGAAGAATGACTCCTTCCTAAACCATGTTTATTATCATAAACTCTTGAGGTGAGCCTAGAACTACTTGTGGCTGTTGGAAGAACCAGTGGTTGATTCCAATTTGAGGTGCGATCAAGAGATCTCTTTCTCAAAGACTCAAAAGAAGGAGGCTCACTCAACTCATGTGACAAGGCAGTGTTTTCTTCTGCTGAAGAGGGGCCGGGAACTGCGCTCGTTTCTGATACAATTATAGTGTCCGAGGGGACGAGTAAAGCCAGTGTTTCCATATTTTCATACTCATTTTCGCTCTGAAATTCATCAGCAAGGGATTCCAGTTCCGATTCCAGTTGCTCAGATTGTAGCTCCTCAGATTGACAATCCTCTGGTTGCAAGTCACCTGATTCCTCCATCTCTCTCATGACTCCCTTAACACCAGGAGGAAGACTGCTGTGTTTAACTTCCACCTCTACTACAGAGGACTTTCTCCGCTTAAAGAAGCTCTGAAGAAGAGAGGAATGTCGGGCTGGTTTCTCCCTTTTCCTGGTCGGAGGAGGAGTGTACTCCTTCTCCTGCACGAGAGAGGTCTCCGAGCATACTTCCCCAAAAGAGTGAGACAGTTCTGTACTGTTCTCCATATCCTGGTCAATTGCAAAGGTCGAGGTTTCGTCTATGGAGATTGATAAGTCGTTCTTTTGCTTTTTATCTTGCTTCAGCTTGCGAAAGTAATCAATCTTTGGAGATGGCTGGACATTTATTGGATCAGTCAAATTATCAGCGTACAGTCTGTGTGTGTCTTGATCGTCCATGTCAATTGCACCACTTGATAAATATTGTTCTCCAAGGAGTATTCCATCCTCCAGACAATGATCGAGATTCTCATAAAGCGGAGGCACATTCTCATACACTGTGCCGGATGAGAGACCTGATCCCGGTCTAGAGTTTTCAGAGTCCCGGGTGTATCTACGCATACACAATGTCTCTATATCGTCATAACTGTGCGCACTTGAGAGATTGCCATATAACAAATCGGGTGTGTCGGTGTTAATGAGGTCAGGTGAAGAGTTCTCAACTATACTCGTGACTACTTCTACTTGCTCTCCTTGCCCACTTTCATCTTCTTCATCTCTCAGCTGGGGATTTTCTCTAGTTATCTCTATCGAAGAAACTTTTCCTAAAGTAGAGACTGATTCGCTATTACTTAAACAATCCTGTCTCAATGCCATATCTGTTCTAGTTTCATTTGAAGGGTCTTCTTCTTTTGATCCAATATCACTCTCAAAATCTGTGCTAGTAGTTTTTAGTTCACAGCTACTTAAGAGATCTCCTTCAAGAAACACGCTTGATTCTCTATCGACATTATCTATAAAGAATCCTCCTGAGACTTCAGAGTTTACATATATATTGTCATCTTTAGAACCCTCTCTACCTCCAGAATTGGAACTGTTGTCGCCTAAAAGATTGCTGTATGTTTCCTGAGCTTGTGTTTCTAATAACTCTACTGATGGAGAGGACTGGAACTCTTCACTAGACTCCGAAGAGGAGGAGGAAACTGAGTGAAAGGAATCTGAGGAATCTTCTGAGGAATGTGACATTAAGAGTTGTAGGTTTATAACCTGGGTTTATAACCAAGGTTTATAACCTACCAATGTTACTTAATGTTAACATTAAGAGCAGACAACTGATTCACTGTACTAAGTCGTAATGGTCATCATCTGAAGGTTTGTGGTTTAGTTTCAGTTGTCATAAGACATTACAGAGCGTGGCAATAACAAGGGCATAAACTGTTTGAGATCAAGTGAAAATCAAAATAAGTTGTATGAAAACTATAAAACAGTTTAGGAAATCAAGCGAGCCAACAAGTGACACAAGCTCATCCCTCTATAATGTAGTCCACGTAACGTTGTTATAGTAATAAGATAATAACATGACCTAGTAGTGTGAGCTAACTATGAACAATATATAAAGTAAACAATACTGATATAATGGGACTCTTGTTTATCACATGTCGTTATTTTGACGATCCCTTGGTGCTGACTGCTGGGTGCATGTTTTCTAGACCCAGCAGAAAGTTGGAGCAACTTTACAGTTCACATAGTAGTAGGTAGAGTTGTAGGTACTAGGTAGAGTAGGTAGATAGAGGAGTTATGGTAGATGACGTAGAAGAGCAGCAGGTACATACAGAACATACTATTAGTCTGACGTATAGTTCCTGTATCCTATACTAATATACAATGTAAAGCTTATTATAAGTTTACTGTCTGCAGTGAGCAGGTAGTAATGATGTTTTGAACTGCAAGGTCTAAACTGTAGACTCTACAGTATCAGTACAATAGGATATGTGTATTTAACGTTCATGTGCTCACTACGTCTTATTACTTTATTACTTATTGTTCGTGTTTATTTTTGTGTCTTGCTTGCTATTTGTTTTGTTTTTGTACGTGCAAAAACGGTTAGTTTTTCCTTTCGCATACTTGACTAATGTCCTGTTTTTATTGATGTACTTGTTTGATGCTTCTCCGAGCTCGCAAGGGTAATCGGTTTAGTAATAGTATCGGGAAAGTTAACAGTTCGTTCCTTATTTTGCACTAAGAGGTATAGGTATTATAGGTATAGGTATAGTAAAACATTCCTTTTGGCTGTGTGATGTGAACAACGAGCGACCATTTCAAAACGGCTCCTCTTGTTTCAATTTAGTACTTACTCTACTTAGTAGTTAGTATAGTAGTAATAGTCTACGTAACAGTAACACTTAGTACGGGCCACTGAGTTTGAACTAACCTTAACTATAAACCTCCAGTTTATAGAATAAAGTGAATGAAGCTGTTGCTATGGCGCGTTGTCATGGTGACGTTGCTATTGTCACGTGTCAGTTCAGTAACACGTGGTGAGAGGTATTGTGTGACGTATGGTGACTGTGGAGGTGTGCCTTGTGTTAACAACACTCCAGCTAAACCCATCTCCAGTTATCAGACACTCTCCTCTCTCAGGGAGTTCTGTCCTCATCTCAAGGTATTTAGTTGGGAACTTCTCTCTCTCTCTCTTTTCTGTGGGCTGTGAACTAGTTGGGAACTTATCAGGGTCATGCTTTGTTGAGCGATATCAGAGATCCTGTTAGGATAGTGAGCATCCTGCTAGCTGAGTTTACAAATACACTAGCTGAGTTTAATATAATTATTATAATTTAGTTTATTGTTATTATTTAAGGCACACTTTGGTTTTAAGAGGATAATTATAGGCTAACTATATTCTGAAAATATGTGAAGGACGCGGCGTAACCATGATGCGGCGTAACCATGGCTACCACGTTGCTAAGTTAAAGTAGCTAAACTACATCTCCTTCTCAAGTAATATTTCCTGTTCTGATCATTTATTTCAAAGGAGACTAGAAAAGCCTGGAATGAATTTAGTTTTAAGAAAGAATCTCAACGTAAGAAAAGTACAAATAGTTTTACTTATGATCTGTGAAATAAAACTTTGTTCAGGAGGAATCTGGGTTTTGTTGCGACGCCGAACAAGTGACTATCATGGAGAAAGCTCTTTCAAAAGCTGATAATCTGCTGAAGTAACTAAACATTGAAGTCTCTCACTTTATCATAGCAAAGATTACCATAATCAGTAAAAACTAACATCCCCCATGAATTCTTTTACTTCGATGAAAGGTAAATGTCATGACAAGAATTGCAGTTTTATTTGGCACGAATCAAGCACTCTCATTTATAGGTGCACGCCAGGGAGAGACAATTTCAGAACTCTAATTTGTGACATGGTATGTGGGCCTAACCAGGCTAACTACTTGAAGATAACAGAGAGCAAACAGTACGGAGACAGGATTCAGGCTACCCACATCAAATACTTTATCTCTACCGTAAATACTTTCACTTTCTTTTAGATACTTTCACTTGTTTACTTTCACCTTCTCTTGGATACTTTCACTTTCGTTTTCACTCAACTTCAAGTTCGCGTTCGTTGTGCTAGTCCGTTTAATTTGTATAATATAGGAATACAGTGACGCAGTATGGAGAAGTACTAGAAAACAAAGCAAATTACTTTGCGGGAAAATATTCAGTGAATGCTCTAAACAAGACCTCTTCAAATTCATAGGTATTATTTTATTTGTTATAGGTATTACTATTATTATTATTGATAAGTAGATTGCATTCTGTTTATATCAATCATTAGCAAAGTGTTTTTGTTAACAAACTACTGTAAGTTTTGTTTTTGGTGCCAATTTTAGACGAACAATTTATTTATTTAATTATGTTAGAACGTTAAATTGGTAATGTTTGTTTCTATTTGTTCCATTGTTCAGGAGATAACAGATGGACAAAGTTGAAGACAGATTACGTTATAGAGAACACACCGTCTCGTCCGGGGATCAAACATTCCTCCCACTCCCAGTTAGCATGTCCTTCCTCCTCTTCCTGTCAGTGCTAATAACGTATTGAGAAAACTGTTCTGTTATAGGTATTATTGGAGGACTTCGCCGCTTCGACGCGCCGCGCAAACTAGCATTCTTGCTTCGCATCGTCGATCGTTGCTCTGCTTCGCAGACTCCAGAGCAACGATCTCGATGGGTTGACTCCGTCAATCAATAGGTATTATTAAACTTACAGCCTAGTTAACTTATTGGTGTTTTCATCTTAGTTCCAGTCTTTCAAAGAACGTGCATGTGTTAAAGAGAATTTCCAGACATCATAATATCGATGGCATTTAGTTAATAATTTTGACAGAAACTTTTGTTTAGTTTAATTTTTCTTGGTCTCATTCGCATTATATTAGTCATTATTTATACATTATAGTTTTCTTTGTAAAAATGAAGTTGCGTGAATATTTTGTTGCCATTGTTTAGCAAAATATATAGAAATTAAAAGAGTCCTGTACAACGTTACTATTCAGAAATTGAAACCCATTACCCAGCAAGCATTAACATTTAACAAATATTACATTATTTATTATTATTTACTACTCAAGCAAATAAAAATCAAACCAATCATAACCATTACTGAAGAAATAAAATATTAACTTAAGTTAAAGTCTGATAAACTTGCAAAGAAATTCGTAGATCTAATTACAAAGTCATACTGATAAATAAACTTTCATAACTCTGAACAAAAAAGGTTTTAAAACACACTGATAACTGAGATTATCAGAGTGTCACGTGTGATCCTCGTGTATCTCGGGAGTGTACGTGAGAAGTGGTCACGTGTGATTCTCGTGTATCTCGGGAGTGTAGGTGAGAAGTACCACCATAACCCAGCTGTGTAACAGTAACATGTAGCCTAGTACCATTAGCCTGGCTTGTGGGTACCTCCTAAGAAACACACCTAATCTCACACTAAACTTATCTATAGAGTTTAGAGCGTCTCTCAGTCTCTCATTCTTGTAACTAGGTCTAGAAGTTTCCACAAACCCCTCCCTCTCAACGGGCACTGAAACAGAGTTATTTCTCCTCTCAACTTGCTGTAACACTCCCTCTAATCCCTCCAGACGTAACACTAGACTACTCCTCTCACTGTTCAACCTCTCTACTTCACCCTGCTTGTTTAGCAACACCTGAACATATTGTCATAGTTACCAATATCATCATATTTCTATAGCAACCAGTATTACGGATCATACTAAAAGCTAGATTACCGAAGAAAATTTTGATAAACAGAAAATCATATCATTAGAATAGAAGAAGACATTCAATAAGTTAAATGCTATAAACGGTAAGATTTAACAACTGTAATTTGTAGTACCTCAGTAAGAGACTTTATCTTGACCTCCAATTCCGAGTCACTGCCAGCCCCGTTGACGACAAACCGCGCGTTACGTACAGTCTCCAGCTCAGTGCGCAGCGCGCGCACTTCCGCCGCAGAGGTAGAACGCAAAACAGTCATGTCTCTCTGACAAATTACCATCTCCTGAGAGTGTTTTCAGGGTAACAAAGTGTTGAGATCATTGCAGATCAGACAAGATATAATACGGTTGTTCTGGTTACCTCTTTCAGTCGCGACACTATGTCTTGGTATTCAGTTAACTCGTTTTCTCTGTCTTTTGTTGCACTTTCTGCCGTTGAGCACTGTTCTAATGCTTGTTGCAGCTCCTACAATGGTATGGGTTTCACAACCAACAGGAACAATATAGTGACAAGATCTGGGTAACTGTGGTAACTAGGTGGTAACTAGGTGGTAACTAGGTGGTAACTAGGTGGTAACTAGGTGGTAACTAGGTGGTAACTATGTGGTAACTAGGTGGTAGCTAGTGGTAACGTGTTTGCAAGATCTGGGTAACGTTTTTGCTATTTTACATCTTTATTTTAATATTTCCCGCATGCTTCCCGAGCCCCCTCGAGTACAGTGTACGAATAACCACCCTTAAGTTTTCCCTTAATATATAAGTACAGTTACAGTAAATAATGAGAGCTGAGTGGTTGTCATGGTTACCTCGCTGTGAGTTTGCTCTACACTGGTCAAATGCTCCTTCGTAATCACCAATTCGCACTTAGTCGACCTATAATAATAACACTGTTATAGTTCCATCAAATTTAAATAAGAAATTTGCAGAATTTCATTTTGTGTTGATGTGAGAATTTATAAACTCTAACCTGAGCTCGGACTCTATCAAGTTGCGCTCTTGAATCATCATCTCCACTCCTTCGTCATCTAAAATTGAGGTATCTGCAGGAGATTTCTTTTCTTTTGCCTGAATTATTTGATATAATTATTTGATATAATAGTACTTATGATGAAGTATAATGAGAACGATAATCGTATATTTGAGAAATTAAAGACATCCCCACAAGCTCTTTACATAATTCCAGTTTAAGTTGACCCCTTACTAGCCTGTCACGTGACCAAAATAGTTTTTTGCCCATAACTCTCCGGAGACGCATTTTTACAATACATCATGGGGGGTGATTCGGAATCAGCGTTCAAAAATACACCGATCATGATTATTTTCATACCCTCAAGGTCTTTTCACAAGAATTTTCTTTAAATTTGGGCGAGCGATTTAGTGGGAGCGGTTACAGTTAAATTACATTTTTTCCCTTAATATGTACAGCCTACAGGGTGGGCCAAAAGTCAGTACCCATACGTTGGCCTTTATAGCTCAGTCACTGAGTGCCCAATTGAAATAATTCTTTCTGGTATGACTTAGTACCACCACTGGTTCGAGGAATTTGTCAACTCGAAAAATGTTCGTGTTCATTTTTTCAAATGAAGGTTCATTTTCGCATTTATTTGATGGTTTGGATAGTCGGATCGAGCTGAATTTTATTGAATTGCGTTTGTCCTGAAAAAAATAGAGATGTAGATTCTCAGATAACCGAGATACGAAGCATAACGAGTTTATTCATTACGTGTGATCAGGTGATTGGTCATTGGCTTACCTAATCACGTGATAAGGTGACCCCGTTAACCACCCCGTTTAACATTGTTGGAATCTTTAAGGCTGCCAAATCAAGGTTTCGTGTCACGGTGTCACATAATCACCCAATTAAGCATTACTCAATTACAGCATTACTAAGGCGACTGTAAACAAAATATTTTTTGTCAAAATCTTTATTTTTCACTTTAGTTTAAGTTATATTAATATAATAAATTCAAATCTTATGATATTGTTATTATCTTAACAGTTACTATTTAAGCTTAAGATTTTAAATTTGTATTCCTTGTATTCCTTGTATTCCTTGTATTCCCAATCAATTTTGCTGACGAGGTACACAAAATGCTTCATAACTTCTTCATTTCTAATCTGTTTTACATCATTTTTTTCAGATCAGATGCAAAATTCGATAATCTACCGTCTTTGAAAAATTATTCGTCCAGCATGTTCAGATAAAACAATATAGGTGTTTCAATATTGAATGGGCGTGGTTTAAAATATTCGAATTTTCAAATTTTGACGACGGAATCCTCGAACAAGTAGTAGGTACAGTATGCCATCTGCAAAGCAACAACTCTCAAATATAAAACACGGCGGAGGTATAAGACCCAACGTATGGGTACTGACTTTTGGCCACCCTGTAGATGTAATGATCCAAGCCTCGTCTACATGTATAACGTTGGCTTTATTGAAACCTCTTATTATATATATATAATTGAAACCTATTCATATCTTGGATCTGTGTAATAAAAACGTGGGCGCGCGGCGCAGTGACATGACATGGTGAACATAGCAAATGAAAATTCTTGATACGTAAAGAAACATGCGCGTTCCAATTTCAGTACAATTTTAGTGATTTGCCAGTGACACACAAATGCTAAAATTTCGATTATACTCCGAAATCCTTTTTTATTCTGCTAAATACATTATAAACCGGCCAAAATCCTTTTAATTTACAAAATTTCCAATAGCAGATTATTTCAGAAGCTCAAAGCATGCAGAAAACAACAAACAGAACAAGAAGTGATGAAGAGAATGTTGATCTAAATGACAACAAATTTACCTGAAGTACACGTGTAGCTCTCTCTTTGTAATCTGACAGATCTTTTCTTGAAAATTCCAATTCGTTTTGAGAAAGCTTCAGTTCGGACAATGTGCTGAAATGTGAAATGTAAGGTGGCAACTTTAGATATAAGATGATAAGTAAAAATGCTCTCATTAAATGATGTCGCCCTAATTATTATATAGCACAAATGCGTTATGTATATAAATAGTATACAGTATACAATACATAGGACTGATTGTCTTCTAGAACTTTGATTTAATTTTGCTTATAAAAGTTGAAACGTTTGGTCTTAGTTTCACATCCAGGAATTTGTGTAGTATTACCTCATACTATTAAATAATAGTATTATCTTATAGTTATTTTCGTCTAATGATTTATGATCATAATATTGTGAAGTTATACATTGTATGTATATAAGTTATACATTGTATGTATATAAGTTATACATTGTATTGATATAAGTTATACATTGTATGTATATAATGTATACATTGTATGTATAAGTTATACATTGTATGTATATAAGTTATACATTGTATGTATATAAGTTATACATTGTATGTATATAAGTTATACATTGTATGTATATAAGTTATACATTGTATGTATATAAGTTATACATTGTATGTATAAAGTGTACTGTACCTGGTATATCTGCGCTTCTCCTCTCTGAGAAATTGCTGTGTGTTGTGTAGTGTGTTAGTTACTTTTACTATTTGACACTGTAACTCTTCTTCTCGCTCCCTACTTTCACCCTGCAATAGTATAGTGCAGTGTAGTAACGAAGGAACCCACCGACCCCGCTGTGCGGGGGGAGGGGGGAATCTTAGGGGGCGCAAAATCGTCGTTTGAATGTGGGACAATTTTGAAAAAACATAACTGAGGTAATAGCAAAACTGCGCGTTTTGCTCTAGAAACACACTTTCTTAGAGATTTTACCGGCATACCCTCTAAAATCACCTAATTTGTTCAATTTTAGGGAGGGGCGCCAAAAGGGAAGGGGGCGCCAACAGGGGGGCGCATTTTCGGCGGGGGGGGGGTGTGCCACTGGTATAGTGTATAGTTTATATAATGTATAATGTATAGCTTAATACTCCTGCAGTCTAGGGCCCCTAAGAAGTGTTTAGGATGGCAAAAATGAAAAATAAGGGTTTAGAAGGCTTGAAAAAGGTCGAATTGAAGGGCAATAAACCTGTTACCTGTATTTTAGATAGAGATTCTTTGTAATGTTCTACCAGCTCATTAGAAACTGTTACCTCCTCTTTCAACTGGCTCAGTTCTCCGTGACAAGAACTGGACACTCTCAACTCCTCCTCCACTCGTTTTGTGTGCGCTGTAAACATTAGTAGATAATTACCTAATTATTAATTACTTGCTATTTAATTAGTGACTAATTATTAATTACTTGCTATTTTCGTTTCAACATTTCTCATCAATTCGTCATTTGTATTTCATTTTTATGAAAAAATGAAATACAAATAGAAATGAGGGGGGAGGGGGGCGGGTCAATTACCGGTCTGAGCTCCGAGCTCCGAGTCAGCCTCCGCTAGTCTTACTTTGAGAACTCCTATCTGAGTATCTTTAGCCTGCAAAACATACCTTTACAATTAGTTAATAAGTTGATAAGCTAATTAATTAAGGTTTACAATTAGTTACCTAAATGGTTACTATGGTTACTATGGTTACTAAATGGTTACTATGGTTACTATGGTTACTATGGTTACTAAATGGTTACTATGGTTACTATGGTTAATATGGTTACTATATGGTTACTAAATGGTTACTGTGGTTACTATGGTTACTATAGTTACTGTGGTTACTATGGTTACTATAGTTACTATGGTTACTGTGCATATAATGGTAACTAAATGGTTACTATGGGTACTATTGACTAACAGTGAGGGCCTCCTTTAAATCAGCCTCAGTTCCCTTTATGCTTCTTATCAAGGACAGTTGTTTTGTTATTTCTTCTTCTCTTTCTTTCAGTTTCTTCTTCTGCTTCTCCTCCAGGATCTGCTGTGACTGCAACTTATCCTGAAATATCATTCTAATAATCATTTACAAAGCTTACTAGTGAGACTGCAACTTATCCTGAAATATCATTCTAATAATCATTTACAAAGCTTATTAGTGAGACTGCAACTTATCCTGAAATATCATTATAATGCTTATTAGTGAGACTGGAACTTATCCTGAAATATCATTCTAATAATCATTTACAATGCTTAGTGCTTACTAGTGAGTAGTGTGCCTCCTAATGATGCTGTTTAATAAAATCTGTGGTTAAAAAGTCACACTAGTGCCTGTTAGTGTGCAAAATATTTACTATTATATAAGTTACATACATTTTATGGTAGTCATGTACAGATAAAAAACTTACAATGTACATCAATATAATATGATTAATTCCTAATCATTTCGTATAAATGTACAACTTTAAAGTGAGAACATACCCTGTACGAACTAATTTTAGAAGATAAGAACCCGATCTCATCAGTTAGCTGAGTAACTTCTTGTTTAATCAGTTTATTTTCCAGCTCCAGTCTGTCAAAGTACTCCCCCCTCACCGCCTCTCCTTAGATAAAACAAGCTAAACGTAGATTATAAGGTAAGGTAATTCCGCTGTTATTAAGCAGCATTATTTAGAAACACTAGTTAATTAATGCTAATAAATAATAACTACTATATAATTAAAGTAGAGATGTGACTAACCATCCTCACTATCGTCACTAAGCGACACCAGGTCCTGGGATGAAGGTACTATCTCTGGAGAGGAGTGAGATTCTTCTGAACCTGGGGTATTAAATAGTGGTAACTAAGTGGTAACTAGGTGGTAACTAGTGGTAACTAGTGGTAACTAGCAGTAACTAGTGGTAACTAGGTGGTAACTAGTGATAACTAGGTGATAACTAGTGGTAACTAGTGGTAACTAGCAGTAACTAGTGGTAACTAGTGATAACTAGGTGGTAACTAGGTGGTAACTAAGTGGTAACTAGTGGTAACTAGCAGTAACTAGGTGGTAACTAGTGATAACTAGGTGGTAACTAGGTGGTAACTAGTGGTAACTAGTAGTAACTAGTGGTAACTAGGTGGTAACTAGGTGGTAACTAGTGGTAACTAATGGTAACTAGCAGTAACTAGGTGGTAACTAGTGATAACTAGGTGGTAACTAGGTGGTAACTAGTGGTAACTAGTAGTAACTAGTGGTAACTAGGTGGTAACTAGTGATAACTAGGTGATAACTAGTGGTAACTAGTGGTAACTAGCAGTAACTAGTGGTAACTAGTGATAACTAGGTGGTAACTAGGTGTTAACTAAGTGGTAACTAGTGGTAATTAGGTGGTTGTACATTTATTGTACAATACATCGGGTATACATTACACCATGGCAGGGAATCCCCAGAAAAATGACAGTGAAAGTACCAAGATTATTATCGGGAAACTGATAGAAAAAGCTAACTCGTCTATCAGACCTGTTATTTCTGCTTTTGAATGTTTACAGTCTCGTTCAGTTAACCTTCAGCGACTTAATCAATTTACGGTTGGAATACTTGAAAGTTGTGCTGAATTTCTAGGAATTGCTCTTGCTGACAAGGACGATTTTAAGATTTTCACTAAGTCATCTCTTGCCAATCGCCTTTATCTTGGTTTTATGGCTCTGATGCCTGGAAAGTGTGGAGAGTGCGGTGATAACTACGTGATTGATCATGATCCTGAGGTCATGCCTTTTTTCAATTGCTTTAAATGTTTCAAAGGTTCACATTGTTGTGAAAGAAACAAAGAGCTACATCAGACCCTGTCAGCTATGAACACGCCGACAGGTTTTGTGTGGCTCTGTAACACATGTCATGGGCTAATTGATCCTATAGAACCTAGGAAACAGAGATCACGCCACACATCTGCTTCACTATCAGGAAATGTTTCTTCTGCTGACAGCCAGTCCTTGGACAGTTCAGCAGATGTTTCCAGTCTTAATCCTTCTAGTGTGATATCTTCGACCCAAATTCCATCTCCTGTGTTATCGCCTAGTTCAGCCACTGCAACGACAGCTGCAGCTACAGACTCTTCACAACCAGCCACAACTGTTTGTCAAGAGTTCCTAAACTGGAGTTGTCCACACGGAATCAGTGGAAAAAAGAAGATCAACGGGAACTCTTGCCCTTCTACTCATCCAAGGGTCTGCAATCAGTACCGAGCATCTGGTTTCACGGGAAGGAGTGGTTGTAAAGAAGGTAAAAACTGTACATTCTTTCACCCTGATATCTGTAGAACTGCACTTGAGAATGGTTCGTGTTCTAAAAAGGACTGTTTAAAGTTTCACCCCCGGTCGACCAGAAAGAGTACAAAGGAGCGTACTGAGAGGGGAGAGCGTCCTAAGAGTAACACTCTTAACACGAATCAGAGGTACAGCAAACAGAATAGTGATGCCAATGCCAACACGAGTGATTTTTTAGAGCTACGAAACTTGATCACTGGGATGGCGGCCAAGTTGGAAGCATTGGAGAAAAAGATGGATCAAGGTACCCCATCCCCATCCCAAACTGTCACACAGCCAATGGGAGCATCCATGATCTACCCAGTTCAATCAGCTCCCCCAATGATGAGTCTAGGTGTGCCCAGGCTACCACACCACCAGATTCCTTTCTCTCCTCACTCTTATTATTAAATGCTAGGAGTTTAAATCCATCTGCCCACAGTACCTGCAGATGGAAGCTTAATGACCTTGTAGGTCATGTAGACGATAAACGACAGTCTGGACAGCTCTACCCCTTTATTGCTATCACAGAATCTTGGCTTAAGTCACATATCAGTGACGCCCAGCTTCAGTTACCCGGATACTCACTTTGTCGAAGTGATCGCAGTAAGAGAGTTGGCGGAGGAGTAATACTTTACTCACTGTCGTCCATCCCAGTCGGAGACTTACGACGACAGCATTTGCCAGGGAATCTTTAATGTCTACCCTTCTGCTAAACTTTGCATAGCAGTTGCTTATAGGCCACCTGACGCAAGCTCAAGTAGTTTCTCAAAACTAATAGATAGATTTACATTCGCTATTGAGAACCTTGCACCTAGTGGCTACGACGTCTTTATAACAGGCGATTTCAACTTTCCCCAGATTGACTGGGAAACACTAAACATCATGAGCGGTGGGACCTCTGATTCAAATCTCTCCGCCCAATACCTGCTAAACTTCATGTCAACCCATCTACTGAGTCAGGTGGTTACTGTTCCAACCAGGGGAAACAGTACACTAGACCTCGTCTTGTGTAACAATGATCGGCTAGTATCTGATGTAACTTGTGAAGCAACAGAAATATCTGATCATGACATGGTTAATGTACTGCTATCCTTTAACCCTGGTCTGATGGAGAAGGCTCAGGCTTCATATCTTGACGAAATGAGCTTCCGAGCCCTAGACTTTAATCGGGCAGACTTCGAACCGATTACTGAGATCCTGAACAGAGTGAATTGGAAGGACTTGAGAGACGCAAGCACTTTTGAAGAATTTCCCGCAGAGTTTACACGGACAGTGCTTAATATATGCCTGGAAAATGTTCCTCGGAAACGACCACCAACTGGCAAGCCGAAGCTTTATAATTCGCTGAGAAGGAAGAAGTCACGACTTAAAACCCGTCTCTCTGCTGCAAAGTGTGCCAATGACCTAGCTCGAATCAAGAAAATTGAAGACGAAATTGGATTAATTTGCTATGAGATCAAGGAAGCTATAGTCCACCATCTTGATAAAGGTGAAAAGAGAGCAGTGGATAAAATTAAAGTCAATCCTAAATACTTTTACTCATACGCTAAATCTTTTTCTAAAGTTAAGCACAATATTTCAACTCTTCTAAACCGTGATAAGAAACTGGTAACTGAACGGAAAGAGTTAGCTAATATACTGCAGCAACAGTTCTGTTCTGTCTTTAGTGACCCCAACTGCCCTGATAAGTCACTACCTACATTTACAGTACCACCTCTCACTAGTAGGGATACAGAACTGGTACTCACACCTAACCACATCGTGGAAGCTATATCTGAGATTAAGCTGGACTCTGCACCCGGACCCGATGGTATTCCTGCTATTCTCCTCAAAAGATGTGCTTCAAGCTTGAGTGTTCCGATCCATCTCCTCTGGTCTGAGTCCATGTATACAGGCATAGTCCCAACTTTCTACAAGACTGGATATGTCACACCGCTTTTCAAGAAAGGTAGCAGGTGTGATGCTGCTAACTACAGACCGGTTACTCTGACCTCACATGTAGTCAAAGTCTATGAAAGAGTGGTTAGGAAACACATGGTTCAGCATCTCGAAACCAACAATTTGTTATCTGACAAACAACATGGTTTCAGATCGAACAGAAGCTGCTTGACCCAAATGCTCGATCACTTTGATGACATCTTTGAAGGGTTTACTCAGGGGAAAGACACAGACTCCATATACCTCGACTTCGCCAAGGCGTTTGACAAAGTTGACTTGGACCTTCTCTTGTTAAAGTTAAAGAGATACGGATTTCACGGCAAACTTCTAAGCTGGATCCAGTCATTTCTCTCTGACCGTGAACAGGTTGTAGTCCTAAACGGTGTTCATTCGGACAGTGCCAGGGTTCTAAGTGGTGTCCCTCAGGGAAGTGTGTTAGGACCACTATTGTTCATTTTGTTTATTAACGATCTAGAGCTAGCTGTTACCTCTTCTAAGGTAAGCTTCTTTGCTGACGATACTAGGGTCTCCAAACGTATCGATTGCTTTGAGGACTGTCTGCTGCTTCAGGCTGATCTGTACGGTATTCTCGACTGGTCACGCTGCAACAACATGAAGCTCCACGAACAGAAGTTTGAGCTCCTGAATCATCTCCACAATAGAAAAAGTACCTTTTCTGAACTTCCTTTTTACGTGGGAACTCTACTTTACAAGGTCTCCAGCGAGGAAATACTACATCCCGTTGAGAACGTTAGAGACCTCGGAGTTATGGTATCAAGCGATCTGAACTGGTCCAAACAGATCGGTAATATGGTCAAGAAAGCTAGAAGCACACTGTCATGGGTGTTTAGTGTCTTCAAAACTCGTGATAGGACCGTAATGACTACCCTATATAAGTCTTTGGTCAGAAGCCTACTAGAGTACTGTTGTCCGCTGTGGGACCCTGTTAAGGTGACTGAGATCCAGCTTTTGGAGGGGGTCCAGCGAACATTCACCGATCGTATATGCGGTCTGGAAAATATGAACTACTGGGAGAGGCTTTCACATCTAAAGCTAATGTCACTGCAGCGCAGAAGGGAACGGTACACTATTCTGATGATGTGGAAGATCCTTCACAATGTTGTCCCCAATTGCAGCAATATAAGGTTCACAAAAACATCCAGACATGGTACCCGAGCAATCATCCCTTCCCTGTCTAGGTTGAGTTCCTCGAGCAACCAGACACTCTATGACAGCTCATTTGCTGTAAGAGGACCAAAACTGTGGAACAAAGTGCCTGATAATATTAAAGCTGAAGCTACGTTTGAGTCGTTTAAAGTTAGTTTGTCCAAGTTTATTGCTTTGATACCGGACAACCCTCCGACTTCCGGTTATAGCTGCAGCTGGTCTAATTCCCTGGTAGACTACTCGCCAACGAGGTGGTCAGAAATCTGATGACCCTTCCTGCTACGAGGATAAACACAACCAAAGTAACCAAAGTAAGTAACTAGGTGGTAACTAGGTGGTAACTAGGTGGAAACTAGGTGGCAACTAGGTGGCAACTAGGTGGTAACTAGGTGGTAACTAGTTGGTAAATAGTTGGTAACTAGTTGGTAACTAGTGGTAACTAGTGGTAACTAGTGGTAACTAGGTGGTAAATAGGTGGTAACTAGGTGGTAACTAGTTGGTAAATAGTTGGTAACTAGTTGGTAACTAGTGGTAACTAGTGGTAACTAGGTGGTAACTATTTGGATTGATGGATTGAAAGCACCCATCTCTGGGGAGGAATGAGACTGGAATACTATTAGTTAAATTAATTAATTAGATTAAGTGTATGTTAGCTGATTAGATAAACAGAATATATATAATTAGATGTTAAACTAGGAAATAATAAAACATTATTTAAAGTATAAAGTTAAACCAGTGAGGAAGATGTTTTGTTCTCCAGGCAGAAGAACTAGGTGGTAACTAGTGGTAACTAGGTGGTAATTATTTAAAGTATAAAGTACTACCAGTGAGGAAGATGTTTTGTTCTCCAGGCAGAAGAGAGTTGTTCAGACTTGAGAACACATTCTTATCTTCCTCTTCTGAAATATTTATCACTTTAAAGGAAACTAAATTAAATGCTCAATAAACACACTTGTTTAACTTGTTAGTACAGTAAAACCCCGCGGTAAAGTGGGCTGTAGTACAGTGTACTAGTATAGTTACCATGGTAACTAGGTGAATCTTCCTCTTGAAGAGATTCAGCAGTTTTTTTGTCCACCTGATCCAAAAAAGCTTCTGCTTGATTAGCGAGATCAGTCAACGACAATGTCCATGCTGACATTCCCTATACTGAATTACTTTGTTAAAATATAATATGTTATGTACTAAGATATTAAGATATTTAATAATATAACTTCTTGACAGTAATTTTGAACATATTATAAAAATGTTTTGAAATAAAAACCTATATCTAGTGGTAACTGAAAACTGTTGTTGAGGATGGCGTGGTTGATAGTATTAGTGTTGGGTATGTATCTAAAATATACATTTGGTCAAAAGATACTTAAATCATGAGATGATTAGCCTTAGAGCTGAGAATTATTGATTATTACGAGAATTGTCCCTAATTAGCCTGATTGTAGTTACTTGAGAAGAAACTTTCCTTTAGGTTGGCTAATATTATAATTCCACAGCAGCTAATTAATAATTAAGCTGTGAGCTCAGTACAGAGTTGAGGGGGAGACCATGTTGTGTGGGCGATATTTCCCCCAACAAACTTTGTGAGCTCATTACTTCACTGCAAACAAACCCCCTCACTATTTACACACCTGCACTTCTGTTCCCTATTATTGTAAACATATTGATCCTGTGTAATCCTGTGTAATCCTCTGTAATCCTGTATATTGTGAGTCATCATGTTTCTTATCGTGTGCCTCATCACAACCTACCTTATCTGGAAAACGTATCTTATAATCAATACGATGTTAAATAGAAAGAGTTTAAGTGCAATCCCACAACCGCCCATTGATAACTTCTACTTTGGACACGAGCCGTCCATTACCAAGGCCAAAGAAGAGAATAGATTCCTAGACCTGTTTGTTGAATGGGTCAACACATACGGGACAACAGTGCTGTTCTGGATCGGAGCCCGACCCTTTGTCTTTACAGCAGACCCTGAAATGCTGAAACAGTGCGCCACTGATCTCAAGTCTTTCTCAAAAGTCAACAATCTCCCCAACAGACATTTGTTCGGACAGAAGATAATAGGGACAGACAGTATTCTCAGTGGAGGGGGGCTCAAGTGGGCGGTGAAGAGAAAAGTAATGTCGCGTTTCTTTGCAAAGACAAATATGAAGGAGATGTTTGAAGCAGCAAAGCCCCACATGGAGGGACCAGAGTTGGGGAGATGGAGGGAGCAAGTGGGAAGAGGAGAAGTACTGGACCTGCATGAAGAGCTATCCATCACTTTCTCTTCTTATCTCCAGGTCCTAGGACTATCAGACTTCCTCCCGGCTAAAACCATTGCTAGAAACGTGTTCCTTCTTCTAGAGGCTATCCCCAAACAGCTCTTCCAGAGATGGTCCTATTTATTATCCTCTGACAAGACTAAAATGTTTGCTCTGATCAAGAAGATGAGAAGTGACACAAAACAGAGTGTAGTGGAGAGAATAGAGGAGATGAAGAACAACCCTGACGACACAATCCCCTCTCTAGACATGTTAGGTCACCTGATAGAGGCTAACCAGAGTAACGATGGTCAGACTTCTAACTCCGAGGCAAAGGTAGTTGAGGGAGTGGTGGACGATGTGATGACCGTGTGTCTTGTTCTGGATAACATGGTTAAGCAGATATGTGCCCTTTTCATGTTCTTAGAAAATGAGCAGGAGGTACAAGGGAAAATGATGGAGGAGCTCCGCAACACTGATATAGAGGATTTCAATGACCTGAACAATTTGAAATACACAGAGAAGTGCATTCTAGAGTCTCTCAGGATGGGGCCGGCACTGTTGAGGGGCACCAGAACTTACAAGTTAGTGAAATATTTAGTTTTACAAATCTAATTAGTAAATAGCGAGTCACTTGTTACAGAATTTAATTTTTGTTCCAGTCTAACCTATACTTGGTGTGGTTGAATTATGTGGAATTTATACTTTCTGCAACCAATTTTTCTCAATATATATTATAAAATGATCACTCTTCACTGCAATTGCAATAAAATGCTATAACAGAGGCTGGCAACCTTACTTCATAAACTTGATTATCTGTAATATGGTGAGACAAAATCAACTGTTCCATGAAAAATGAAAAATATCAACAAAAAAATGTCCATATTAAGAGGGAATCAATTGAGTGTTACATAAAATAACTAAATATTTTGCGTGCTTAGCAGACCTATCTAATGTTTTCAGGACCGCCACAAACAAGAGGTTCGGACCATACGTAGTGAACACAAGAAATGTTAGAGTTCACTTCTCGGAGTACGTAATGCAGATGAACCCGGATTATTGGCCAGAACCTAAAAAGTTTAACCCAGAAAGATGGCAGCCAGGATTCAACCCAGAGCCCTTCTCCTACATGCCATTCTTCGTAGGAAGTAGAGGCTGTCTGGGTAAACATATGGCTATGATGATGATGAAGTTAACGCTTTCTGTGCTGGCTAAAAACTTTGAGTTGCAGCAGAGTTTTAACAAGAAGGAACCGCCCACTATAAATCAGAACATGGCTGTGATGCGCATTATCAACAGAGTAGATTGTTTGATAACACCCTTAGCAGTAAGTTGAGTAGTTGGACAATTTCTATTGAAATTTTCATGTTTTTAAAGTTTCTATAACTGATCATTGGTAAAGAATATTTTATGGCCTTAAAAAAAGAACAATGAGCGTGATGATTATGATATGTGATAATACACAGTATTATATGCATAGAATTTCACTGGACAGAAATTAAGCGCCTAACAGGTTTTTAGATTAACGAACAGAAACAGAACACTAACTTCTAACATGATTGTTATGTTGAAGAAGCAATATATTATGTACCTCTCTGTTAATACACCAAACTCTTATGAAATGTTATGACTATACTGATCTACTGATATTTGTATGCCAGCTTTGCTGTCTTATTATGTTGAGGTTTAACCAGTGGCCTAACGTTGCCTGTTGCCCCCCCCCCCCCCCCCCCCCTCCCTAAAATTGAACAAATTAGGTGATTATTTGTAGGTTTACAACCTACCAGGACGCGCGCCGAGTTGGACTCAGATATTTTACGAGTATCACCCGTTAAGTGATTATAGGGGATATGCCGGTAAAATCTCTAATAAACTGTGTTTCTAGAGCAAAACGCACAGTTTTGCTAGTACTTAAGTTAAGTTTTTCAAAATTGTCCCACATTCAAAGACGATTATATTTTTGTCTGCTTTAATTGATACTAAATAAAATTGTTGTTTTCTTGAAATTGTTGACTTTCTTTGACTTTTAGTAATTGAGAACAGTACAAATTAAAAAACAAATATTTACTCTTGAACACATTATTGTGAATCTTCGGCCGTAAAGTAAAGGTAAACTTTTTTGTTTCATTTTGTAACAGACTGAAGAAATATATCGAAAATTCATATGATTTTGTGATCCTATAAAAAAAATTGTAAAGCAATTCTGCCAGACTCATATCACTCAAACATCGCTTCCATTATAAACCACTTGTCCAAATTTTAAAAATCTTGTGGATTATGAAAGTAAACGTGTCATTTGATGTATTGTAGACACTAGTTCTGAATAATTTAACGGGTGATACTCGTAAAATATCTGTTCCATATATTGGACCGTCGACGAGTCCAACTCGGCGCGCGTCCTGGCCTGGTAGGTTGTAAACCTACAAATACATTCCAAATTATGCCCATTTGTAAATATGAAAATTTCTGAAGAGTAATTTGCCAGATTTGATGAGCTTTTTGCCCAATTACAATGACCAATTAGTCAGTTAACTGAAAATGGTATTATTGAGTCATTCATTATTATTTATAGGAAGTCAAAAAAAATGAAAGAAATCATATATTTCCATTTTCGAAATTGACGATGTCAAACTTTCAAAATCTTTCCCTTGCGAAGCAAAACAACTCATAACGTCATTGGTCATGTGAACAATAATGATAGTTTGCGCGGCGCCTTTTTTTCTTAGCTAGCTTTTATAATTATGTGACGCGAATTTATGCCTCATGTTTGATGTTGTGGGCTTAACGGATGTTACTAGTCTAAATTTTTTTGTAGGTTTACAACGGTACAACTTACCAGGACGCGGACGCGCGCCGAGTTGGACTCGTCGACGGTCCAATATATGGAACAAATATTCTATTGTATCACGTAGTGACCCCCACGGTCGCTTCACTGTAGCGTCTTCGACGCTACAGGGGGAGCCGCGCACTTCGTGCGCGGCGGGTCATACAACGTATGAGAAATATTTTACGAGTACATCACCCGTTAAAAATTTCTTCGGAGTAGCGCGCGCCGTTCTCGAAATGCCCGCGATGGCACGTGCTACGAAGTAGCGCGCGCCTGGCTAGATCATTAACAATGGTCAAGTTGTGGGCTTGCCTTACCTGGGTATCCCTTGTATCACGTGGTGAACCCCACGGTCGCTTCACTATAGTGTAGAGTTTCGACGATACAGGGGGAGCCGCGCACTCGTGCGCGGCGGGTCATACAACGTATGACAAGGTATCCCAGGCTATAATGTTGATCATAAAAATAAAAATAATGCTGTTCGTTAATGGGCGAGATGCACCACTGGGATCGCCGAGGCGAGCGAGCGGCAAAGAATTTATAACCGATGTTACTCGTCTAAATTTTTTCGAAGTAGCGTGCGCCGCTTAGTCTTACTTCTCGAAATTTTAATCTTATTAGCACGATGCAAGTGCTACAAATTAGTAGCGTGCGCCGGGCTAGTCCGTTAAAAATGGACAAAATTTACATTTTCAATTAAGGTTGAATATTGGGGGGGGGGCAACCATATTAAAGTATATTAAAATGTAGGATTTTTCCCGATTTTGACCCGGGGATATACTTTAATATACTTTAATATACTTTAATATATCCCTATCTCCTTGGAGGCCTACATCAAAAATTGTTGCCCAAAATAAGCTTGAAATGCAATTCTTAATCGATTCCAAAAAGTTCTTGAAAAAATATTGAAAACTGATGGAGTTATTTCAATTTTAATGAAGTCATTTTGGCTAGTATTCCGAACCGAGATATTATGTGCAATTTTCCCAATTTTGTTCATGGAGGTCTTTTTACTTAGTATCCACTATATTCAACAAACACTCATGAGTTATATCTTTCACATAGAGCTACGTAGTCTTATTAAAAAATATTGAAATTTTATCGAATTTGGGCAAAAGCGAATTTGGGCAAAAGCGTATGCCCAAATATGGGCATATTTTTTTAAGCTCATAGCTCACCCAATTTTTGACCAATCTGGATGGAAATTCGTGTACTAGTCCTAAAACAGGCTTATCTTGCGAATCTGAGTGAAAAATATAGTTCATCATGTAAATCTTAACGAAGAATATAAATCTTCTAATTGTAGGTATATTAAAGTATATTAAAATGTAGGATTTTTTCCGATTTTGACCCGGGGATATACTTTAATATACTTTAATATGGTTGGCCCCCCCCCCCCCCCCAATATTCATTTAATTTTAGCACGCTCGTATAGCCGTTGTGTGGAAATGAAAATAGCATTGAACCGTGTACGGTTAAAAACACCCCTTCCACATATTCCAACTTGACCCGGCGCGTGCTACTTTGAAGCACTTTACCTCGGGTCATAATATTTCGCGAGAAGAAAGCGGCGTGCGCTACTTCGAAGAAATATAGACGAGTATCATCCATCAAATCCCAATTTTATTTATCTATTTGTGTTGGGACAAGATAAATGCATTTAGTTCAAAACTTCACAAATTATTTATATTAAATACCAACCGTATCGTATCGAAAATTGAAATTAACTTACAATTTAGCAAATTCAAATCAATTTTATTTAATTGTGGAAGAAATTTTCAATTGTGGAACATTTCATTCTAAGAACACCATATTTTATTTGCTGCATGCTGCACTCAAGATAAAACCTCAACCTTGTAATATGTTGACGGACACTTAACACACATAAAAAGAACTTTAACATTTAAACCTATCATAGGAATATGGTAAATTGTAGATTGTAGATACCGGGGCAGGAAGTGCACACCCTAGTACTGATATCACGGTGTTATGTCACAGAAGGATGCTAGGACCTAATTAAAATTGAAACAGACAAGCTATTAAACCTGTTATTCGGAATGAATGTTAAATCCTACAAATCAACAGGGTGTTTCAAGGCTCGTGTCCAAAATGTAAATCGTACCAATCTAGATAACCGCCAGCTAATTTTATTCACTTCTGTTGTGGGAACAGAATGTTAAGTTTCTCCACTGAACAAAGCGCTTATTTAACACAGAACCAACTTTATCGAGTTAAACTGTAACAGTGCCGCAGTAACACACTGTTACACATTGTAACACCTTTCTTCAAATGAAACCTCAATCAACCAGGACAGTCTATACCATTAATCTAACAACTCTTTGAAACATGATTTCAAGTTAGAGCAATCTGAAGAATATTAACGAGGAATTTAAAAAACACAACTGATTTTCAGGTGAGAGCCTCCTGAATGTCAGTTCTGCAAAACGGGCACTTTCTGGAACAGGTGGTGAGCCAGCGATCTATACAGTACTCATGAAACTCATGTTCACAGGGCAGCACACGTAGTGTCTCTCCTATACTGTAGTGACCTGTAATATGGGAACATGTTACAAAACACAATGTAACTATGGCAACTTGTTACAAAACACAATGTAACCATGGTAACTTGTTACAAAACACAATGTAACTATGGCAACTTGTTACAAAACCCAATGTAACCATGGTAACTTGTTACAAAACACAATGTAACTATGGCAACTTGTTACAAAACCCAATGTAACCATGGTAACTTGTTACAAAACACAATGTAACTATGGCAACTTGTTACAAAACCCAATGTAACCATGGTAACTTGTTACAAAACACAATGTAACTATGGTAACTTGTTACAAAACACAATGTAACCATGGTAACTTGTTACAAAACACAATGTAACTATGGCAACTTGTTACAAAACGCAATTTAACTATGGCAACTTGTTACAAAACACAATGTAACCATGGTAACTTCTTACAAAACACAATGTAACTATGGCAACTTGTTACAAAACGCAATTTAACTATGGCAACTTGTTACTAAACGCAATGTTAGCAGGGTGATTTGTTACAATACACAATGTAACTATGGTAACTGGTTACAAAACACAATGTAACCATGGTAACTTGTTACAAAACACAATGTAATCATGGTAACTTGTTACAAAACACAATGTAACCATGGTAACTTGTTACAGAACACAATGTAACCATGGTAACTTGTTACAAAACGCTATGTAACTATAGTAACTTGTTACAAACCACAATGTAACCAAAACACAATGTAACTATGGTAACTTGTTATAAAACACAATGTAACCATGGTAACTTGTTACAAAACACATTGTAACCATGGTAATTAGATGATACAATGTTGGAATGTTAACAATGTAAGAATGTTCTTTTTCTACTAACCAAGACAAATGGAGCATTTCTTTTCCCGGCTCATATCTGCTTCACTAGCAACTTTAGTAGGAGCGCGGTCTAACACGTTCTTATCCACCAGAGGCGGGTTAGGAGTGGGTGCTATTCTGTGTAATAACTGAAATAGTTTTATATTTCACTTTATAAATGTAGTGTATTGAAGAGACGGGGGGACGGGAGATGATACTAATAATAGTCTATTAGTTGTAATAGTCTATTAGTTGTAATAGTCTATTAGTTGTAATAGTCTATTAGTTGTAATAGTCTATTAGTTGTAATAGTCTATTAGTTGTAATAGTCTATTAGTTGTAATAGTCTATTAGTTGTAATAGTCTATTAGTTGTAATAGTCTATTAGTTGTAATAGTCTATTAGTTGTAATAGTCTATTAGTTGTAATAGTCTATTAGTTGTAATAGTCTATTAGTTGTAATAGTCTATTAGTTGTAATAGTCTATTAGTTGTAATAGTCTATTAGTTGTAATAGTCTATTAGTTGTAATAGTCTATTAGTTGTAATAGTCTATTAGTTGTAATAGTCTATTAGTTGTAATAGTCTATTAGTTGTAATAGTCTATTAGTTGTAATAGTCTATTAGTTTTAATAGTCTATTAGTTTTAATAGTCTATTAGTTGTAATAGTCTATTAGTTTTAATAGTCTATTAGTTGTAATAGTCTATTAGTTGTAATAGTCTATTAGTTGTAATAGTCTATTAGTTGTAATAGGGGGGGGGGGGGCCAATGACTACCAATGGAGACTTTTGGGGACTAATGGGGACTAAAAATCATGGGGACTGGAGGTCAACTCGTTGACGTAATTCACCATTTGTCCCCATAAGTCCCCAGAATTTTTGACAGTTATTTATGGTTTCCAAGTTAGTTTAATAACGATACGATCGAGATGTTTTGTCCAAGATAAGAGTAGGATAAACCTGACTTAAAAGTAAAATGATAAGCCCGGTTGTAATGTGTTCTACCACTGTACAAGTCAGTTCAGATTGAGGTAAATTGAAGTTTAGCTCTCGTGAAGGTAGAAGTAGCCGACTCGCTGAACTATCTGAATCTTATAATCGAATGAAAAATCATGAATTAACCCTTCGACTTACCCTCCTAATAATGTTAGATGATGGGTGAATGAGTATTTATAACAGCCGTTCTGTGAACAGACTTGGTGATCTTTATTTTAAGGGGGGGGGGGGGACATTTGGGACATTGGAGACAAAGCTTTTGGAGACATTGGAGACATTGGAGACACTGGAGACGTAGATGTATGATTGGAGAAAGAGGAGGATCTAGGAGGAGGATGACCCAGGAGAAGGACTCAGGAGGAGAAGGAGGAGGATGATGACTCAGGAAGAGGACTCAGGAGGACTGAGAAGGAGGAGGACTGAGGATGGTTGTGGAGGATGGCTGAGGAGGATGGCTGAGAAGGATGACTGAGGAGGAGGATCTAGGAGGATAAGGACCCAGGAGGAGGAGGACCCAGGAGGAGGAGGAGGAGGACTCAGGAGGAGGACTCAGGAAGAGGACTGAGGAGAACAGAGAAGGAGGAGGACTGAGGAGTACTGAGGAGGATGGCTGAGGAGGATGACTGAGGAGGATGACTGAGAGGGAGGAGGAGGAGAAGAAGGACTGAGGAGAAGGAGAAGGAGGAGGACCTAGGAGGATGAGGACCCAGGAGGAGGACTCAGGAGGAAGAGGAAGAGGACTCAGGAGGACTGAAAAGGAAGAGGACTGAGGAGAACTGAGGTGGAGGAGGACTGAATAGGAGGAAGAGGGGGACTGGGGGAGGACTGAGGATGAAGAAGACTGACGAGAAGGATGAGGAGGAGGACTGAGGACTGAGGAGGATGAAGAGGAGGAAGACCCAGGAGGAGGAGGGATGAGGACTGAGGAGGATGGCTGAGGAGGATGGCTGAGGAGGATGACTGAGGAGGATGACTGAGAGGGAGGAGGAGGAAGAGGACTGAGGAGGAGTAGGACTGAGGAGGAGAAAGAGGAGGACCTAGGAGGAGGTGGACCCAGAAGGAGGACTCAGGAGGAGGAGGAGGAGATCTCAGGAAGAGGACTGAGGAGGACTGAGAAGGACTGAGGAGGAGAAGGAGAAGGTGGAGGAACTAAGAGGAGGATGAACCAGGAGGAGGACTCTGGACTCAGGAGGAGGACTTAGGAGGAATGAGAAGGAGGAGGACTCAGGAGAACTGATGAGGAGGAGGAGGAGGACTGAATAGGAGGAGGAGGGGGACTGGGGAGGACTGAGGAGGAGGAGGACTGACGAGAAGGATGAGGAGGAGGACTGAGGACTGAGGAGGATGAAGAGGAGGAAGACCCAGGAGGAGGAGGGATGAGGACTGAGGAGGACTGAGGAGGATGGCTGAGGAGGATGGCTGAGGAAGATGACTGAGATGGAGGAGGAGGAAGAGGACTGAGGAGGAGGAGTGGGACTGAGGAGGAGAAAGAGGAGGACCTAGGAGAAGGAGGACCCAGAAGGAGGACTCAGGAGGAGGAGGAGATCTCAGGAAGAGGACTGAGGAGGACTGAGAGGGAGGAGGACTCAGGAGTGCTGAAGAGGATGACTGAGGAGGAGGAGGAGAAGGAGAAAGACTGAGGAGGAGAAGGAGAAGGTGGAGGAACTAAGAGGAGGATGAACCAGGAGGAGGACTCAGGAGGAAGAGGAGGAGGACTCAGGAGGAGGACTTAGGAGGAATGAGAAGGAGGAGGACTGAGGAGAACTGAGGAGGAGGAGGAGGAGGACTGAATAGGAGGAGGAGGAGGGGGACTGGGGAGGACTGAGGAAGAGGAGGAGGATGAAGAGGACCCAGGAGGAGGAGGACTGAAGAGGAGGATGAGGATGAGGACTGAGGAGGAGGAGGAGGACTGAGGAGGATGGCTGAGGAGGATGACTGAGAGGGAGGAGGAGGACTGAGGAGGAGGAGGAGAAGGACTGAGGAGGAGAAGGAGGAGGACCTAGGAGGAGGAGTACTGATGAGGAGGACTGATGAGGATGGCTGAGGAGGATGGCTGAGGAGGATGGCTGAGGAGGATGGCTGAGGAGCACGGCTGAGGAGGATGGCTGAGGAGGATGACTGAGGAGGATGACTGAGAGGGAGGAGGAGGAGGAGGAGGAGAAGGACTGAGGAGGAGGAGGAGAAGGAGGAGGACCTAGGAGGAGGAGGACTCAGGAAGAGGAGGAGGACTCAGGAGGAGGACTTACAAGGAGGAGGACTGAGGAGAACTGAGGAGGAGGAGGATGAGGACTGAATAGGAGGAGGATGGGGACTGGGGGAGGATGTGGACTGGGGGAGGACTGAGGAGGAGGGGGACTTGGGGAGGACTGATGAGGAGGAGGAAGACTGACGAGAAGGATGAGGAGGAGGACTGAGGAGGAGGACTGATGATTGAGGAGGAAGAGGAGGATGATGAAGAGGAGTAGGAGGACCCAGGAGGAGGAGGACCCAGGAGGTCCGGAGGAGGACCCAGGAGGTCCGGAGGAGGAACCAGGAGGAGGACCAAGGTCCCAGGAGGAAGACTCAGGAGGAGGAGAACGACTGAGGAGGACTGAGTGGGAGGAGGAGGAGGAGGAGGAGTCTCCAAAAGCTGTGTCTCCAATGTCTCCAATGTCTCCAATTAAGCTGTGTCTCCAATGTTTCCAATGTCTTTGTCTTTTTCAAAAAGATAAGGTGCGGGAGACATTGGAGACATGTCACCCCCCCCCCCCCCCCCCCCCCCCCCCCCCCTTTAAGGCAAGCACTCTTTTGTGAATATTTCCATAAATGATCGTCAAAAACAAAAGAAACCAACGCCAATTTCAAATTACTGAGCATATCATTTCAGACAAATAAATACAAAAGTAATAAGAAAAATTTATAATGCGTTTATTTTCCTTGCGCTACAACTCGTGTTACTAGATCAATCTGATAAAATAAGCGTATATAGATGCAATATGTCTCCTTAATGTTGTCATTGGTAGTCGCCCCCGCCCCCTCCCTTAATTTACCTGAGGTACTCTAACAGCCCTCAAGTAGCTCCCAAGAAGTCAGGAATGTCCAGTGACCATTTATAAATATTCTAGACTTCAGTCTTGAGAAGTTTACGATCTGGTCTGGAGAAGCCAGATTTTTTGAAATCTAAATGGGGACTAATGGAGACTTTTGGGGACTAATGGGGACTAAAAATCATGGGGACTCGGGGTAAAATCGTTGACGTAATTCCCCAAGTCCCCAAAAGTAGTCATTGGCCCCCCCCCCCCTGTAATAGTCTATTAGTTGTAATAGTCTATTAGTTGTAATAGTCTATTAGTTGTAATAGTCTATTAGTTTTAATAGTCTATTAGTTGTAATAGTCTATTAGTTGTAATAGTCTATTAGTTGTAATAGTCTATTAGTTGTAATAGTCTATTAGTTGTAATAGTCTATTAGTTGTAATAGTCTATTAGTTGTAATAGTCTATTAGTTGTAATAGTCTATTAGTTGTAATAGTCTATTAGTTGTAATAGTCTATTAGTTGTAATAGTCTATTAGTTGTAATAGTCTATTAGTTTTAATAGTCTATTAGTTGTAATAGTCTATTAGTTGTAATAGTCTATTAGTTGTAATAGTCTATTAGTTGTAATAGTCTATTAGTTGTAATAGTCTATTAGTTGTAATAGTCTATTAGTTGTAATAGTCTATTAGTTGTAATAGTCTATTAGTTGTAATAGTCTATTAGTTGTAATAGTCTATTAGTTGTAATAGTCTATTAGTTGTAATAGTCTATTAGTTGTAATAGTCTATTAGTTGTAATAGTCTATTAGTTGTAATAGTCAATTAGTTGTAATAGTCTATTAGTTGTAATAGTCTATTAGTTGTAATAGTCTATTAGTTGTAATAGTCTATTAGTTGTAATAGTCTATTAGTTGTAATAGTCTATTAGTTGTAATAGTCTATTAGTTGTAATAGTCTATTAGTTGTAATAGTCTATTAGTTGTAATAGTCTATTAGTTGTAATAGTCTATTAGTTGTAATAGTCTATTAGTTGTAATAGTCTATTAGTTGTAATAGTCTATTAGTTGTAATAGTCTATTAGTTGTAATAGTCTATTAGTTGTAATAGTCTATTAGTTGTAATAGTCTATTAGTTGTAATAGTCTATTAGTTGTAATAGTCTATTAGTTGTAATAGTCTATTAGTTGTAATAGTCTATTAGTTGTAATAGTCTATTAGTTGTAATAGTCTATTAGTTGTAATAGTCTATTAGTTGTAATAGTCTATTAGTTGTAATAGTCTATTAGTTGTAATAGTCTATTAGTTGTAATAGTCTATTAGTTGTAATAGTCTATTAGTTGTAATAGTCTATTAGTTGTAATAGTCTATTAGTTGTAATAGTCTATTAGTTGTAATAGTCTATTAGTTGTAATAGTCTATTAGTTGTAATAGTCTATTAGTTGTAATAGTCTATTTCAAGGTGGAGTTTTCTGGAAGACTACTCCACATATTGGGACTGTACCATGATAACACACTTGTAAATACTGATTATAAACCTCAAAAGAGTCCGTGAGAAGTCCGTTTAAGTTTTGGAGATCTCGTCGGAGCGTTGTTATCCGGTCCCGTAAACTAGTCATGTGCAGTAACTCCTCGTGGGCAACAACCCCCCGTCTCTACCCAAATAATATGGTGAGTGCTGCGTGAGATAATGCCTGAACGCGTTCGTGCAAACTAACACTACTTTAACTGTGTGTTCGTGCAAACTAACACTACTAGAACTGTGTGTTCGTGCAAACTAACACTACTAGAACTGTGTGTTCGTGCAAACTAACACTACTAGAACTGTGTGTTCGTGCAAACTAACACTACTAGAACTGTGTGTTCGTGCAAACTAACACAACTTTAACTGTGTGTTCGTGCATACTAACACTACTAGAACTGTGTGTTCGTGCAAACTAACATTACTACAACTGTGTGTTCGTGCAAACTAACACTACTTTAACTGTGTGTTCGTGCAAACTAACACTACTTTAACTGTGTGTTCGTGCAAACTAACACTACTTTAACTGTGTGTTCGTGCAAACTAACACTACTAGAACTGTGTGTTCGTGCAAACTAACACTACTGTGTGTGTTCGTGCAAACTAACACTACTATGTGTGTTCGTGCAAACTAACACTACTTTAACTGTGTGTTCGTGCAAACTAACACTACTAGAACTGTATTTACTTACAGTCGGTATGTTGATAGGAGGAGCACCAATAGAGTCGCCCGCACTTGAAATGTTCCTGCGAATAAAATTAATGAATAATATAATAAGCTTAAAGTTATTAAAGATTTGCTACTTATATTACGGATGACAGAATATAATATTTAGTTTATCTGCACTACATACACACTATGTCTGTACCTTGCGTTGATTGGATCTTGAGAAGCTTGAAAAGTAACATCCTGAAAAATAATAATTTAACTCATGTATTTCCAACATGAACATTGATCATCTCTTTAAAAAATGTTGAGGCAGTGCTACTGAAACCCAAATTGGGTCACTGCTATTAATTGTGCACCGATTTGACTTTTAAAATGATGTTATCAGTTTGGTTTTGCTCAATAGAAATATCTCCCCTCCTTACCAAATGTCGACTGTATGATCGCAGGCGCCTGGGGTTCGAATGGTTTGTGACTCTGGTCAGGGGGCTAACAATAACTCCTTCACTGGTCAGGTCGCGCATTACATTCTGAAACAATATTGTCAAAATTTGATTTAACTATGTTACTCATCTGATTGTGAGAGCTAACATTTTAACCCCCCCCCCCCCCCTCTCTGTAAGCCATTTTACACATAACTGTGGTGTAGCAATTACCAAAATTTACTTAACTCTTCTCAACAAATGCACAGATCTTGTGTATTCTTATTAAAGAGGAAGACTACTAGTCGGGATAATGTTCCAGTTTCACAGATCAGCTCACTGTACTGATCTGACCGTACTTCAATATTTGGCTCAAGTGTCAGTCGGTGTTTTAACGGCTAGTAAGCTGTCCCTCATTGGTTGTGCGACATGTAAAAGTGTACACATGTGTACACAAAATGCGCTAATTCGATGACGATTGTCACACTCTCTTTGAAGTTTCGAGCGCGCGTCGCTAAAATTGTGTGCGCGCGGCTTAGTCCAGACTTTATACGATTGGCGAACGCGCGTTCCATCAAAAAGCCATAAGAGACCGAATTACAGGGGGACATTCTATGCCATTGTACAATAATTCATTGCCAATGTTCAGAGTTACATTTTCCTTTTGGGGCTGATGCAGGTAAGATAATTACTTATCTACAATTAATCAATTCGATCATTTCTTCATTTTTAAAAATCGTATCACAAAGAGAAGTTTCCCTCGTTTAAAAAAAGATTTCAATGTACAAGTACTCAGTGGCGTAATGAAGGGCCCCGCTGACCCCGCTGTGCAGGGGGGCGCCGTCTTAGGGGGCGCCAAATCGTCGTTTGAATGTGGGACAATTTCGAAAACTTAACTAAAGTACTAGCAAAACTGCGCGTTTTGCTCTAGATACACACTTTTTTAGAGATTTTACCGGCGTATCCTCTAAAATCACCTAATTTGTTCAAATTTAGGGAGGGGCACCAAAAGGGGAGGGGGCGCCAACAGGGGGGCGCCTTTTCGGCGGGGGGGGGGGGGGGGGGGGGGGGGCGCCAACAGGCAACGTTACGCCACTGCAAGTACTTCTCAGAATTCAGACGTAATTGTTCGCCGGACCAACTCAAGGTTGTTAACAGGTCAATTGTAAATAATCAACTGTGTTGTGCAATGTTTTTGCAAAAAAGACGCTGTCATGGAGAACATATTACAAACAAAGAAGAATATTATATTATATAAGTGAACTGTACCATGAATTGCCCATACTGTCTGGAGCGTATAGGGCGGCGCGCAGTGGGTCTGCGAGCTCTATACCGCGACACTGAGTGTGCATTCCGTCTCACTCCAACTCCTTCAGTGGGACTCGAGCGCTGCACAAACTGCCTTAAAAAACGGGAAATCAGACTTGGTATCATTCTGTGAGGGTCCAGGGTTAGAAAACAGGTTATCACACGCACGCACGCACGCACGCACGCACGCACGCACGCACGCACGCACGCACGCACGCACAAATTGCAAGACACACAGACACACAATTATATATTTTGATATTTTATTATTTTCAATATCTCAGGCTCTAAATTGATTCTAGATAAGCTAAATGGAAATAGAAATTTGGAAAATTTCCTTAACGAGGGGGCAGTAAGGAACAGTCACCCCACTACATGTAATATAATAATACTGTAATATAATAATACTGTAATATCTATGGCCGCAAAAATTAAGGCCAACAAAATGGAAAGCCAACATAACAATGGAACGATTACTACCATTGTCTGGCATTGCACCAGCGCATTAATCGCACTGTTAACTAATTCAGAGCAGTTACAGGGTGATGTGAACTAAACTCTGTGAAAATTACAGCTTTGGTAAAACTATCATTAATAATCACTCATTATGTCTCAACCACTAATTTAAATAGCTTCTCAGATTATTGAAAACCATTTAAAATACTCACAACACGCAAACAAATACAGATAATATTATGTAATAACTGTATTACACTATACTAGTAGTGTGAGTAGTTTCCTGGTGGAGACTAAAAACAAGAAACCATAAACACAGACACACAGACAGACAGACATACAGACAGACACAGACAGTCACACAGACAGACACACAGACAAACACACATACAGACACACAGACACACACACAGACACACAGACAGAAAAACTACTAGTAGTACTCACCAGGTCACTGACTGTCCTCTGTCTTCTCTGTCCTGTAAATAATATTCACTACATTATATACATTATGTATAATATGTATATGTTCATATATAACGTACCATTATACACTATATAATGAACATTATCTTTATGATCATTATCTTTATTGTGTAAATTTACGTAGATAAAAGTTACTGTGAACAGCACTAAGGCTCGTGTGTTTCCAGTTTGTCAGATGGAGATGGTGGAAGGCTTTACTGTACTTACAATAACGTTAGTAATAATCGGTTCATCATCATCAGGGACAGGTATGGGGTTTGTTGGACGCGTTACCATGACAACGTTATCAACTCTGTAAAGAGTACAGAAAGTTGTGTTATATAATAGTAAATGATGTTACTACTGTCTTTCATATTTTAGTATGCTAGATTTGTTATCTCACTTCGCCAAAATTCGTATTTACCCTTAAGTTAATCTACCCCTGCCCCTGCCCCTGCCCCTGCCCCTGCCCCTGCCCCTGCCCCTGCCCCTGCCCCTGCCCCTGCCCCTGCCCCTGCCCCTGCCCCTGCCCCTGCCCCTGCCCCTGCCCCTGCCCCTGCCCCTGCCCCTGCCCCTGCCCCTGCCCCTGCCCCTGCCCCCATTGTATCTGACCTGTTACTAGGACCGGGTTGATCCTCGTCGGTTACCATGACAACGTTATCTTCTCTTATCATGACAACGCCCTCCGATCTCCTAGCTCGTTTTGAAGTTTGATATCGAGCTGAAATAATAATTTTCACTTGATTATCCATATTATCTAATTGAGAATTGAGGTACGGTTGAAAGTTGAAACTATGGAAATTTAATGAAAGTCCGTTAGTCGGAGAGAAATTTAGATACAATGGTTTCTGTATATATCTATGTTGATAGAAATTGCAGGTATTTCTTTAAACATTAAGAGTTTCTGCAACTTAATCTCTGTTATGCATTTCATAAACATTACACAGTGATCCGGCTAATGTGATAACGTTATCAATATATTGATTATTGGTTAAAGTTAATTGTCTTATCTATATGTATATTTACCATCATGTTTACCTGAAATTAGTATATTTAGTATAATTACCTGAAATTAGTTGAAGTGTTTCTGTCATGATGTACCCAAGCGTGAGAAACATAACCTTCGAAATTACGGACTGCATAGTGTTACCATGCCTACAGTGTTACCGTGTTTAGTGTTACCATGACTACAGTGCAGTGTTACCATGACTACCATGTTACCATGACTACAGTGTTACCATGACTACAGTGTTACCATGACTACCATGTTACCATGACTACCATGTTACCATGACTACAGTGTTACCATGACTATAGTGTTACCATGACTACAGTGTTACCATGACTACAGTGTTACCATGACTACAGTGTTACCGTGTTTAGTGTTACCATGACTACAGTGTTACCGTGTTTAGTGTTACCATGACTACAGTGTTACCATGACTACAGTGTTACCATGACTACAGTGTTACCGTGTTTAGTGTTACCATGACTACATTGTTAACATGACTACATTGTTAACATGACTAGAGTGTTACCGTGTTTAGTGTTAACATGACTACATTGTTAAGATGACTACAGTGTTACCGTGTTTAGTGTTACCATGACTGCTTAAAGTGCGGATAATTTGGCGAATAGTACGGCGAGTCTGGGCAGCAAATTTGTTTCACCTCTTTTGGTTAATCAGGAGGGGGAGGCGGAAAATTCGGCTGAATTCGGTTCCGGCTTTATTATCCGGTTACGGTCCGGTTTAAAAGCTGCTTAGCCGGGAAACGGCAAATAGTGTGATTATCCGCACCTGCCGCACTTATGCGTTGCCTGTGACTAGTGACTACTACTACTAAAACGGCTCTTTCAAGTTTATCTAACAAACAAAAGTAAGCTTTTAAAGTGGACTAAAAAATACAGTCCTAGTGTTACCATGACAACTTGACAATCTACCAATGATTCGGAACAACTGCAAACACCGAACACATAGTTACACAGTGCAACAACTAAACTAGCTATTTTTAGTAATACACAGTGCTAATATATACAGATATAACACACTAATATATAGACACATGTTGATAATACAGTACCTAGTCACGGGATAACATGTGTCATGGTGTATTTTGGGCTTGCTTTTAACGGAAACATATTGACCAAATTAGTGCAAACATTATATCTTGTAATTTGCATTATTTTACATTTGCTTTACCTTTTACATACTTGCTCTTCCTAATTCAATATCATGATTAGGTTAAATAATCAATAAAGCTAGTTTGATTATTGCAATTATTTATTGTCCTACTACAAGGCAGTGATATTATTGTATATTACTAGTGTAACCCAAGATAACTCTGATTCTTAAACAGCTGCAATTTTTAAATATTTGAAACTTTACTACTACTACTATTTACCTGTACTTTCTGTTTCAGTGGCTTCTCCATCATCGTCGGAGATTACAACACATTCCCTCTCAGTGACCATGACGACACTGTCTTGTTGTGTCTCAGTAACTGTGTCAGTAAATCCCTCATCTACTGCATCTACATCATCTACTACAGCAGAGTCTTGTTCTACAGGTGTGTTAGAAGTACTGCTCTCTGGACCTTCACTCTCCTGAAACAGTGCTTAATAATAAATAGTAATAAATAATACTAAATAGAACTAAACAACATGTCATCTCTTGTGGTAAAATGCTCCCAAATCTTATAATGATATTAATAACTGAAAATATTCAGGCCTAGTTGAGATATTGAGATAGTTCTAATGAAAATATGATTATGGACTTGTGTTCATATCAAAAGAAAATTAAAATTACGAATATGCAAAAAATAAAATAATGTAAATTATAAATCTTACCATTATAGCTTCTCAATGTTTTTAATCTACTGGGCATCAATCCATCATTCGCTACAATCTGTAATATATCTATATAGCATAATATATCAGCTATGATAATATCAGTAGAAAGTTAAACACAAAACAGCTTACTTTTACAAAATAAAATGACTGGTTAAAAATGATATTGTAGTTAGAACTACAACTATTACTACATTATTACTAATATTCACTAATTGGTATAATTTTCCCAACAGTTTCGATTTTACGTAAGTAAGTAATTTCTAATTTGATACCTTTCCTTAAAACACTAATAAACAGTCTAAATGATAAGTAAATTAGTTAATTATATTTGTTGTAGACATATAACTAGTATAACAGGACATTAAAATATACCGTGAATAAATTAAAATTTTGAAACTTCCAGATATCGTCGAAATTCCCGTCGTTAAAAAAGAACAATGCACTGTTCGTTAACATTAAAAGAACTAGTGTGATCGAAATACCGTCAACAGAAAGAAAACTGTGAAAATGATATCGTGTCCCATTGTTGCTATTGTCACTAAACCTATTCGGTTATTTTAAAAGCTCGGCTATCCAAAGCTGAATATACTGGTAAAGCAACTGAACTCTCAGTCTTCAAATAAACTGCTTTCACATTCTTCCACCCTGGACGTACATTTGCACACAACTCGTTAAGAGCAGAGTGGAGGTTTTCTGAAAGGAGCTCATTGTCGAAAGACACTCGACCACAAGGAATACTGAGGTTATTTCCTTTTCCAAGATTCGCCACCATGTACGATCTGGTACAGGATTCCACCTCTTGTTTTAAGTTTTTCTTCTTGAGGTTGACTTTTACTGGAGCCTTGCCCTTGCGGTAGAAATAACTACCAAACCACCGCGGGATAATAGGTAACACTCTGTCGTCTACCAGAAAAACATCATGACTGTCGCACAGTATTCGCTTTGCTTCCAACTCCTTGTACTTCTTCTTCAGCTTACCGACTCCTATAACCTTTGCAACACTAATATTATTAGTCTTCATAAGATCCTTATAATACCTCTGTGGGTCCTTAGTAATCAAACAAACTGACGCTTCTTTGTTGTAGATAGAGTTCTTCAGGGTTAGTTTGACGGGGTGTTTCGTCTTGTTTGGTACTCGTTTGAAGACAACTTGGACATACACGTGGGCATCTGTTTCTGTTAAAGATGAAGACTCTTTAGCACGGCAGTGCTTCATCAGTGATTCCACGGCTTTTTCAACTTGTGTAGGATCCATCCTGAATTAGTTTAATTATTATTTGTCACAAATAAAACATATTTGAATGATCACTGTTTTTTCGTTTTAACTTTTAATGCTAGATACCTAAGCTAGAGGTCACAATTTTCCGAAAAGAAATGGTCGAAGAGAACGAAGAAACTTAAAGAATACTGAATTTGAGGAAGAAATTATCATTCAGTCGTAGTTAACGAGGTAGCAAGTGAAACTGACAGCAGTTTCCAACTTTCATGATAAGTTACCATGGTTACCATAAGTAACTGGTAAGTGCAATTCATGCGGGACTGACACCAACAATGAGCAGACAGAATGTTTGAAAACATGCTCTAAATATTATTATACAAAATATATTGAAAATATAACGATGAAATTAATAGAAGATTCAATAAAAATTTAACTAAAGAATGATTTTAATAAATGTAACTTAAACCTATACCTCCTTATCTCTCTAGTATATCTTTATTGTGAAATTGGTCGTATAATTACAGAAAAACTCCCTTTAAAACCATGCAATAGTGTACCCACGTTAAAAACGTGACAATCAATACCACGACAAACTCTTCAAATTGTATCAAAACTATAGTTCCTGTTTGACCTCCAAACCTGCAAGCACATTATCCATTGTAATTAGAATTTCATCTGATGAGGGATAAAAATACTGATACTTTTCACCTCGTCTCTTGTTAGAAAACTCAGGTCGAATAGTCCCACTAGTGTCGAGGAATATGATGCGAGGAATGTAGCCACCATCGATATTAAAACTAGGATCATCCCCTGGTGCTTCATCATCCTCAGCATTAACCATAACAAACTTATCACTCAGCTCCAACATGGCTTTACTACCAGCAACCAAAGGTTTCAACCTTTTGCAGGCTCCACACCAGGTTTTGTGTAGTATCACCATGACAGGTTTGTTTTGTTGGCTTGCAAGGGTTCTAGCTTCACTCCAACTAACCCACGCGTACTGATTACCAAAACCTCCTCCTGATAAGTTAGCTCCTACACTTAAAAGAGTCAGACTGAGTAGCACCAGTCTGTCCATTTTTAGTATACCTATGAAAGAAGGATAATATAGATTAGTTTTAAAGTTATTACTATGTATTATAAGTTAGTATTTTGATAAATCTCAATGATAGTAAATCCAAAATATTATAATTAAAGAATTTGAATTTTAAATCCAAAAATTTCATAATTTCGACCCTACATTATCACATTATTGTTGTTTGCACTTAAAAGATATTCTGATAAAGCTTGATTAAGAACAATTTTTTGTTAATGGTAATAAAAAGTAGGTTTTGAATTATTGATTAAAACGTTTTAGAATGTATTTATACAGTGTATTTAAAGCCACTGTAACATTGAAAATGATAGGAAAGGAAAATATCGGTATCTAATGCGGTTTTGTAGTCAATAGGGCCCCTATTATAAGGGTAACAGATAGGGGTAACTAGGGGTAACAGATAGGGGTAACTAGGGGTAACAGATAGGGGTAACAAAACTACACTTCCCATGTGAAGCATTATTCACATATTAAGCAATAATAAATAATAAAGACACAATTTGTCGGATTTTGTAACAGAACTTGAAAAAACATAATTCAAATTCACCTGATTCGACTGCTGGGGATAATGCAGTGAACAAATTTTTAAACAAAACAGAAATTCTGATGGACATAGAAGTATTCACATAGTAGGACCCTCATCAGCATCATCATCAAATGCATTGTAATCGTCATCATAATAATTCTGAACATAATCGAGGTCTTCTTCGACATCATCATCTTCTTCTAATGCAAATTCATCATCACTTTCGCCGTCATCTTCAATATTTAAATTTTCTGATTTCTGAAGTTTGTCTAAACGCTTTAACAATGTTGCATCAGAATGATCTTGCCGATGACCGATCATCCTTGGTTTGATGTCAGGCTTATTAGCTAACTTTGATGTTCTCATCCTAAGTTCTACTGGAAACATATTCCAGTTCGGGACCCATTCCAGTTCTTTATGTGTATTGTACTGTTTAAATCTATCAGAATAACGCTCAATTTTGGAACGTTCTGTTTCAGGCTGGATATGATAAGGAGAATCTCTCATATAGTTTCTGAACTCTTGCTTTAAAGCAATAAGATAATTGTGCTGAGTGGACTCTCGCAGTGGTTGAGGTTTTCTGAGAAGAGGTGGGAAAGTTTCTTGGGGCTGAATTTGTGCAGTCAAACTGACTATGTCCCCTCGTCCTATTCCAAGATTTTCACTTATCACATTAATACTTGACTTTGACCTAGCTTTGCCTCTACCTCGTCCAATCGACATTAGCTGCACAAAGTTTTGAAATTAACAATATGTAAAAATGTAAAACTAATTTCAATTCAACATTTCTACATTATGGAATAGACTGAAATATAATCTATAGACAAAAAAAAAGAAAAACCCGTGTAGCTGAGACACCTCACAGCAAGTAGACCAAAGTGGCTCTTGCTTGTGAAGGGTGTATCAACTACCCGCCGAGGCGGTGGGTTGGGAGTCCCCCCTGGGATCATTTCGTCCATAAAATTTTACACAATATAAAAGCTACAATAAATTATCTATAAAATTTACATTAACAAACTTAAGAGACCTCAAAGCTCGTCTTCTGAGGAATGAGATTGAAGGATACGTCATCCAGTCCAAGGTGCTGGGCTTTTTGTCTTCCTCTGATTCCCCTGACTGCTATGAGTGTGCTTCGTAGCGGATCAAACCTGAATCGTGTTCTGATGTGATTTTTGACCTGGCTCTTAGCTTCTTTATTGTGGTCAGCTATCCTTTCAGAAATACGATCTACAAACACAGTGCAGTCTACTCTATAGACACAAATTTGTGCGCTTTGTATATTGCAAAGTGCTGAACTAATGTTAATTAGGAACAAGTATTTAGTATTATGTATGTCATTGTTAATTTCATGCATTCATTATATGTCCCTGAGGATTGCTTCAGTTGGCAGTGGCGTAACGTTGCCTGTTGGCGCCCCGCTAAAAAAGCGCCCCTCTGTTGGGGCCCCTCCCTAAAATTGAACAAATTAGGTGATTTTAGAGGATACGCCGGTAAAATCCTTAAAAAAGTGTGTATCTAGAGCAAAACGCAAAGTTTTGCTAGTACTTTAGTTAAGTTTTCGAAATTGTCCCACATTCAAACGACAATTTGGCGCCCCCCTAAGATGGCGCCCACCCCCCCCCCCCCCCCCCCCCCCCCCTCCGCACTGCGGGGTCAGCGGGGCCCTTCGTTACGCCACTGTCAGTTGGGCAATACATTTTTTTTTTTTTATTTATATAAATTATTCAAACAATATACACATAATATAGCAATGACCCTATATAAAATCTGTTATTAAGGCTAAATAGGGAGAATTGTTACCGATAATACTAAGTCAAACTCTTGGGATAAAGGTGTTAAAAAGATTATATTTATAACAAGGTTAGATAACTCTCTAGTTATAACTCTCAGATGTTCTTGGTTGATCAGTGATATGAGTGTGTATGATTATCACGCTGTGTGATCTGTGTTCAAACTTCAATATCCAAATCACTTCAATAAATATTATCTACTAATAATTTAACTTGTGATGTTGGGAAAGTTCCTTGATCCACTCTTTACTACTAATAGCTCTCTCAGCTATACCGTCCCTCTTGATCTTACTTGTGGTGTGCTGGTGACTGCTCTCTCAGAGCTTACTCAGGTCCACTCAGGTTGCTACACTTGTCTGCTCTCTCAGAGCTGTTCCCTCTAGAACTATATCTAACTTCACTGGACTGCTACTCTAGCATCCACACAAAACAACCTGGGATAATAAGGCACTTAAAACACTGTAAGTAACATCCTCTCAGGAAGTATACACAATCAAGATCTAGTAAAGTAAAACAGATCACAATGTAATACGGGAAAGACAACAACTAACATACAAACACTTACCGGCTTCAAGTTGGACACTCTCGTAGTTGTTGTAGGTCCTAGCCGGTTGTTGTTGTCTTCTTCTTCTTATTCACATTTGTATTTACATGCTTATAAAAGAATGGTTAATAATCGACATTCCACCCTTTTTCTTTTCTTTTCTTTTCTTTCCCAACACTCCGTCACGTCTTTAAAATGCCCGCAAAATCCAAAATACACGTTAAAATTAACATTCTTAAATCCATGCGCGGCTCAGCGCAAACGCTCGTGCCCCAAAAAATTCTACTTTCTTTAACTTTAAACCCAGATATTCTGGCGCAAGAAAATTTTATCTCTAATAACCCTGTTAGAAAATACGGTTACTAGTTATTCCATAAAAGGAGTTAGCACGTGACACATTTGCATTATATCTCTTGTTTTACACGTAAAAAGAGCGGTAAAACTCGCTGCAGTGTAAAATGACTGCCTGTTTTAAGAGATATCTTGCTGTGTATTACAGCTTTATAGAATATTCCGAAAAGAGTACACGTGTTAAAATTAACTTCCCGTCCCATACCGGTGATAAAAGATCTCTAGTATCACTAAGATACACAAATTCATGTCGAGTTCTACGTTAAGAAACTGTATTTAAACTTATCGGAAAGAAATTCTAAGTTAAGCTAGGTCTAAAAAATCATCTTTCTCATTAAAATATTCAAACCTGTCGTGTCAAATCTTCTCTTCTCACTCTCTTTTCAACATTTGTTAACATACACATGTTCACATGGGGGTCAGCGGGGGCCTTCGTTACGCCACTGTCAGTTGGGCAATACATTTTTTTATTTTTTATTTATATAAATTATTCAAACAATATACACATAATATAGCAATGACCCTATATAAAATCAACCCTTTAAGAATTCAAAAAATTCCCTTAACAATCAAAAATTTTTTACCCTTGGCCTTGTGGCTACAAGTTAAGATCTAGACTGTTTATATCAACAATGTTTTTTCTCGCACCTCTGTCTCCACGGAGAGAAATCACTGTTGTTCTGAGGATTTCAAAGCGAAGGCGCTTTCTTATGTATCCTACAGCGTCTGAGTACCTCTGGCCAGTGTGGTACTCCATCTTACTGGCCAGCTTCTTGACCAGTCTCTCAGCTTCACCACCCATTCCACCAGAAGTCGAGAACACTAAAGGTGTGAAGCTTCCTTTCTCCACTTCAAGAACCCTTGCATTGTAACATCGCTTTTTCTCATTTTCATGGGACAGGTACAATACATTTGGGCAATACATTTAGTTTAATTTGTTAAAACAAAGAATAGAGTAGAATTACATTTTACACGGCCAAACACAATTGATTCACATAAATAACTGATAGATATGTCTGTATAGAAATGAACATATTAGTTTACACAATTACCCCATATGAACGGTACGGAATTTTATTTGTTGTACAGGAAAAATAAAAATAACAAAAACAACATGGTGAACCTAGCAAGATAGGAACGAAGGGTCAATCTTTTTTCTTTTTAACGGGTGATACTCGTAAAATATCTGTTCCAACTCGGCGCGCGTCCTGGTAGGTTGTAAACATACAATTTCTTTTGAGGTACATCCACAGTCAATTTGAATTGAAGTAAGCATGACAATGAACGCGATCGCCGAATGATAAAACAATATGGGAACGCGCACAGCATTGCGCGCTGATACTCTAAATACTGTGCGCGTTTCGTCCGGAACCTGGGGGAGTTCCCGCTCTAATATTTCTGACGACAGTGATCACTCATTATGAGAACTAATCCCGACCACTTTCCCGGTCGAACCGTACCCAAATCAAACTAATTTATGAACCATGTGTATAGCCAACGTCCTTGCGGTGCCGAGCCGATGTAAAACTCTTCTGTCTCTTGTTAATATTTTAGTTGTACTGTGCATAAAAGTGTGTAGTGACAAGTGTGTAGTGGTAATGTATATTATTTATTATGACGACGCGATATTTATAATGCAGAATTAAAAGCTGCTTTCGATATGACTGGTGGTGGGCTCTCTCCGGCAGGACATAGATCTATATAGGGGGTACCCGGGGTACGAGTTAACGAACAGTGTTCGTGTCCTTCCACAACCCCCTGTTACCTGTGTTTCTGTCGGGGGAGCCTAATTCATCCGTTAGAATCGCAGAGTTAGCGGAGCTCATGATATCTCGTGACATATGCTGCATGAACGGTGCAAGACTTGCGCCGTTTGTTTCAGCATCCAGTTGCGAGTGCTTGCCCATCGAAAACATGATTAGTGATTGTGGATTTTATTGATATTACTGATTATCCATCATATTCAGTATTAATGTTATCCATTATTTATTTATTGACATCCTTCAGTCTCCAAAACGAGGTGTGAAGGTAAATTAACTTTGAGCCTTGTTTTGGCGACTGCTTAATCGATGGGCAAGTAGGTATTTGTTTTTTAGCAGTGTTGAACATTGAAACAATTATAAAATGTTTATTTTTATCTTATATAACGTACAATATGAATGACATATGCTATATGCTATAGTGACGTAACATATATAGTGCAAAGAATTAGTAACTTGCTAGATGTGATTTAGTGATAATCGACGTTAACATTTTGCAGTTTACAGTTGCACAATGTTGACGTCGATTGTTACTAACATTTATCTGAATTTAATACAAGTACATGTCACATATAAATTGGGTAGCTGAATGAAACTCGTGCCTCAGAATTTTCCGTTATTAGCATTGCAGTGTCCACGCCCTGTACTGCGTTAACGACCGAAATTTTCCCAATATGCAATTATTATTTTGCTTCTAAAATTCTCTGATAATTAATAATATATCGTGACATGTAATTGTAAGATAACAAACCTCGCGCGCGCGGCGCTTACATCTGCACCTGAGAATCTCTCAGCAATGTGTGGCTGTCTGCGCGGCGGGCTGTGTATTGTGTATATAGCTGAATTTAAATTTAGATTTATTTGTAAATGTATAATAATATTAAATATGTATTGATTGTTTTGTGGTAAATAAAAATTTTGTTTTACTAAAAATTTTGTTTTGCTAATGCGCGCGGCGCTCAAAGCATGACAATGCGCGCAGCACTCAAAGCGACAACATCATTAGACTTTATTTTGTCTATTGACGCATATTATATTTTTGCCGAAAACACACTTCCCGAATTGCACGCATTCATGCATTTCCAATTGCAGCGACTCTTTTCAAACTTCATTGTTAAATATCAATCAATTCCTCATATTTAATTTGGTCGACGCACGCTAACATAATATAACTCAGTGCAACATTAAGCAAATTACAAATATTTTATATTATCAAATTTTATGTGTTTTCAGTGGAAATGTAACGGGCGCCTTTTATTTTAATTTTTAATGTTTATAATGTTT